AAACACTCAAGATTTCTTTAGGTACAGGAGAATTGCCACTAAAGCAAATTAAAGGCACTGCTTTTTCAGAAGAAAAGTTGTCAATAGGTGTTCTCTAAATCACTTGTACCAGCTGGCTGACCCCATTATGTCAGCTAATCCTGAAAATACAGGAGGTAAATTTAAAGCTTTTCATATGAATTGTTTAGTCGATTTTCGGTTTTTGTTTGTTTTGGCATAGCATTGGAAGTTTTATATTGCTGTCCATCTTTTACCCCAGTCTATAACTTTCTGTGTAGTTGTAATGCCCAGAGGAAGAGGTCCAAGCATGACTTTTCCAACTGACAGAGCAGGCAGGGTATTTGAAAGCATAGTGCTTGTTTATCACAGAAAAGAAAAAGAAAGATCACAGGCTGTGTGAAGGGACGGAGGAAAGACGGTGCCAGGTATATGGGTGACTTAATACTGTAGCTCAGGGGATAAAACAAGTCTCCTTTGTCTCTACTCCAGTGCAGCATCTCAGCAGTTGTACTATTCCCTCATCAACAGCACACCTACATCTGCCTGTGTTTCCTGCTTATGTTCACCCACCACCCAATTACCAGCTCATGAAGATCCATACCTGCTGTGCCTTGATCCTCAAAATGCTACGCTGAAGCTTTAACCCTCTCCAAACACCTACATAATGCTTTATAATAATAATATTTAGCACATGAGAAGGTACATTAAATAATTACAGACGGTACTTAAACCACCAGATTAGCAGATCCTCGCACAGTGCTGAAGATCTGCAACACAGATCTACAAGGGAAAAGCACAGTCATTTTCAGTCTGAGTCATATTTAAGTCCTGCTCTCCTCAGTGGACTGTGAACTCCCTCTCCTGATTTTGTCTTAAGACTCTCCATTATAGATATTTTTTTTTAAATCCCAAGTATTATGTGAATTTGTGGGAAAATAGCTTGCCATATGACCCACATCTGTTATAAACACCCACTAATCTTACATGCAAATAGAAAGAATTGACACATTTAAATATCTAGATTTCTCTTTTCCTTTGTTCCCACAAAATGTTTGAGGTTTTCAATTTATGTCTAATAGGTTTTAAATTTTGTTGCTGAGAGTAAACAAAATTTACACACTGGACTTGATTGAAAGTGCTGGCTTTCAGTCCAAAGGGCCATGTATGTCAATTACATGTGCCCATTGCTGTGGTCTTCAAAAGCACAAACCCCTTAAATTCTCTTTGAATGCTGAACTAACGTTAACTAGAGCAAAGCTTTTATAATAGATGTGGGAAAACAAAGTACAGAGCAAGCTAGAGAGTTGATAGATTTCGATGCATAAACTTACTTAAATGTCCTTAACCATCTTGACTTCTATCATTTCTGTCTTCTGCAAAATGTCCTCTGAAATATTATAGAAAACCCAGTATGGAAGTCTTATTTTTTTATTTATCCCTGCAATGACCCAGGAATAAAGGGTCCAATCTAGTCTAATCTATCACTTGAGGTTTATTTCATTATCATCATTCAGGTCTATGTATCTCTCCTAAATGCAGAAGCAGCCTTTTTCTTGAAGAATACATGGTGTGAGTACACATCCAACCTCATTCTTTCGTCCCTTTCAAATAATCCAACATGATGGTTCAGGCGGTGGGGGTAGAACAAGAGACTGAAAGACCATAACCATTCTTTGACTGGCATACTGAATGCAAGTTATGACTAAAAATGAGGGATTAACATATATGTCAGTTAAACAGCAAACATCAGAGTGAAGCTATCGGAAAAAATATACTGTTGGCACTTACTTAATAAAATATGCCTGTATAAGGAGCACACTGTTGGCATTCATCTATACATCATTTTTCTGTAGAGCTGAGGATCCTTTTCAAGATGTCAAGCATCTCAAATATACTTTACTTGAGCATTTTATATAAAACTAACTACTATTTACTCTCTGGGTTTAGCAAACTTTGTTAAAAGTCAGGTTTATAAGAGAGTTAATAGGATGCTTGACAAAATTAAGCATCTTCCTGGCAAAGATGGAGTGTTGATTTAATTTAGGGATAGAAGAAAGAGCATATTACACAATGCAATGTAAACATAAAGTAAGCATATAGCAGAAACAAACATTTTGCTGTATCAATTTGAAATAAGAAAATACTCCATAATAGGAGAATTGCAAATTCTCATAGCAATGGTAAGTTGAAATTATGAACAACTTCTAAACAGCATCACTGAAACAAACATAATTTAAAAGTCCAGATCTTCAAAAGGTATTTGAAATAAATATTGAGTACAGGTAAACAAAGAGAATCTCATATTTTCTTTAAGCATTCACAACCCTTCCAATTCCCAGGTTTGCATTTGCAGAACACGGCACAGCGACAGAATGATCAGTTCACCCTTGCTTTTCATACAACCATTTTGAACAAGTCAGAAAGAAATGTATCAAAAATTGCTCAGTCAGTGACGCTTCTGGCGAACTGGGTTAGTGCCCTGTATTTGAAAACCCTGGGAGATTAGAATCTGTTCATTTCTATGGCATATTTTCTAATCAATCACTTCCTGCTCTTTCTTCCCTCACTGTATTTATTTCAATGGCAATTTATACTAATCAATCACTTCCTGCTCTTTCTTCCTTCACTAAATCGACTAAATAGAATATGCAGCCTTGTAGCATCTCAATGATCATCTCCTTATCCCCTCTTGGCCATTGTCTTTTTGTGTTGAGACTAATGCTTTTAATTTGTCTTTCCACAATGTTCAGGCCATACTGCCTTTTCGAAACCTTTCAGCTAAACTGCTAATTGCATAAAAAAACCCTTCACATTGCTTTTGGTCACACTAGTTCATGTTTTGAAAATACTACAAAGCATATTTTTCATGGGAGGAGAGCCTTGGAATGAATACCCTTCTCTAAATGTCATATGAATGCCTCACTTCTTTTGTAAAATTTGCATTAAGGTTTAAGTCTCACATTCAAAGTGGCACCATACTGTCCCAAAAAACACAGGTTTCTTTTTAAAAAATTGTGGGCTTGTTTTGGCTCTATTCGTAAGTTGGTTTTTTGAAAAATACATTAAAATATTAAGAGCTTTGTTCTTTGTGTTTTAGTTCTGACAGAAGGAAATAGTAAGCAGAAGAATGTTGTACTTCACAGGAATAAAACTGCTTGATTCACGTAACTTCCGTGACCTTTTAGTGCAGACTTATCTACAGTTTCTACAAAACAGCAGAGATCGTTTATTTGAAGGAAGCTGTTTTCCCTACAGACCTTTACTTTTCGTGTCAAGTACATCAGGGGTACACTTGAAGTCACAGCACAGCTTTAAACCAGCACTGATAAACTCATGTGGGATGTGACTTCAAAACACCAGAGTAACAGGAGGAAGGACAAGGAAGAATTTAATTCATTTTCAAAACAAAGGAACATCTATTTAGGCTTTAGGAACATTTGCAAATTGAAGTGAATCCAATGGGATTCGAGATGACTTGCCATTTCTTCAGTTCTTTATTTATTATGTGTATTTTGGTAGCATCTGGAGGCCTTGCTCTATAGGGGGCTGTACAAATACTGAAAGAAAATGTGATCTCTCCCATAAAACAACTTTTTAATATAACATGAATTGAGTCAATAATATCCCATCAAGGTCTTGTTCTAAATGCAAGACATTACAAGTTTCTGGTTTAAAAGGTTACATTTCTTTCAGTATATCCTATTTGGTCAAATAATTATCACAAATATCAATATATACCTATTACTGTCTCTCTCAACAATAACGTACAAGGCTTAAATCATAATGAACATACAGATATGAAAAACAGAAGGACCTAAATGCAGCACCATCTACCATTAACCCCTTTACTTTGTGACCATGAAATTTCTCTGATGTTGATTCATATACAGTTTTCAATATGAAATAAATGCAGGAACTGAAAAAGGATGAACATGAGAGATGGTGCTGGAAAAATTAAGAAGCAAAACACACTTCCAAAGAATAAAACCTTTTTGTTTCAATGCACATGGAAACTTTGATACAGTTTAATATGAAGAACACAAAATCAATTTTTTATAGAAAAGTGAAAAGTCAACGTTACAAGAGTAGAAAAGTTTAGGAATTCAGAAAATTTATCTTAATATCAGATGAGACCTTAAAACTTGGACACTTACATTTGTGTCACATAGCAATTTTCCTTCTGTAAAGACAAAAATAAACAGGACAAGCTGATCTATCCCTGACCTACTTTTGCATTAAAACCACTAGAAATTTTTATAGCCCCAGATTCTAATCTGACCTAAGGATGTTTTTAGCTTACAATTCCTGCTGTCTCTTTCCTGCCTTGATTTTGCTGTTGTCTCCTGCCCAAGTTCTTCAGACTTTCTAAGAGTTGCATATACTGTCTTCAGCAAGTGATGAAGCTCTTTAAATCCAGAAGCAATGATGCACCATGAACAGGCTACTTTAGGTGTCAAAGAAAATCACTACAGTCACTGGGCAAAATCACATCATGACCTCAATCCCACTTCAGGAGAGTGCCTGATCCAAAACTGTTTCTATCTTTGTCCAGCTTCTTCACCACATATTCTCTAATATCCAGATCTACTCAGCCAAAAAGCCTCTTGAGTTTATTGCCAATAACATAAGAAAGAAGGTAACAGGACATGCAAGCTCATAATAAGGGTTCCCTCTGAATTTGGATTACTCAGGTAATTAATTTATTCTGACATATTCTGGAAGGGTTTGGAGAGTACCGCATTCATATTCAAATCTGTGATAAGAAACAAAATACTACTCCTTTCTGAGTCAGGGAGGCAATAAAGTCCACTTTGAGATATGCGTGTTTCTGATATTGAATAAGAGTATCTGATATTTTAAAATATATACAGGTTGTAACTACAACATGGGAATAAACAAATATTGGAATTTAAGCAGGCATCCACTTAGGCAGTGGGAGACTATAGATATCTATGAAAAACTTTCATTTATGCACTGCAACAAGTACAAAACTCTCTTACCTGCAGGTTTGCACATGCTGGTGAATCATTGTGGGAGGGTATTTCATTGTTGGTGGTCTCTGAACCTGTGTTTTTAAGTCTGGAAGCTGTTGTAGTTGTGGCTGTAGTGGTCTGTACTGGTAAGATTGGCTGCCAGACATTCACATCAGTACCGTTGCCGAAGGCCTGAATTGCATTTTCTGTAAAAATAAATTACAGGCAATTTTCTATTTCTAAAAACAAAAGGCAAAAAGCAGAACTGAGTTGTTTTTTATTATTATTATAATTAGTACATTGAAAATGTGTTTTTAGAGAAACTCAATTTTTATGCTGAAAACTGTGCCTTAATTTTGAACCTATCTGAAACACAAACTCAGAGTCTGGGGTCGTAATTATCTGGTGCAGCCTCTTCTTTGTAATGTTTCCAGTAATTCTTGACAGGCACTCTAGGACTTACCATAATCATATTTGTTACCATCCAAAAGCCTCAAAAATTTACTCTGAGGATTTAAAATACAGTTTGAATGTCATGTCCTAATTCAGGCAGGTGATTTTAGCAAACTGAAAACAGAGAAAAGGCAAAATACTTATTTCTACATCTTCTTGTAGTAAAACTAATATGCCTATAACTACAAAATAGTTTAACTAAGGCAATCTTTTCCTTACAGTTTTCAATCAAAATCTGCATAATTAGGTGAAGGAAACATGCTTAAACTAAAACTTTAGAATATAAAAGTTAAAAAGCTTATCACAGTTTCACGGGATTAAAGAGTGTGTTTATAGCAAGAGTAAATTGGTTGGGGCTTTTATAAAACAAATAGAAAAACAGTTTTTAATCAGGTCTTTGGGGATTCAACATGGATTTGGGCATTTCTTATTCCAAATTCTTTGTACAAGAAACCAAACAATTTCACTGGGGACTAATATGTGGAAGTTATTAATACTTCTTCTCAGTAGTATTCCTTGGCTTATAAAATAATTTACATTTAATTTTCAACTGAAAAATATGTATTTTATTATGATATTAGTTCTCAGAACTCCAACATGCAAAGAGAAGAATTTGTAAAAGGCATCACAATCAGCTGGGTTAATGGAGACAAAGTGGGAAGAGTGAAATTATATGTTTCCTTAGTTTCCCCAGAATGAGGGCATATATAAACCAATATTTTCCTATTATTTCCTAAATTGACAGCAAGTCTTTGTTTCCACTATTACAAGAAAGGTCACAGAAACACGTGCAATCCTTCCAAGTTTTTAAGTAACAAGTGTTCTTTACAATTAGTTTTCTTCAATTATTTCATACACTCATACTCAATGATCCTTATGAGTCTTTTCCAACTTGAAACATTCTATGATTCTTTGACAGAATCACAGAATGATTTAGGTTTGAACCATCCTTTTTTTAAGCACTGAAAGGCCAAAATAAGGTCTTTCCAGAGCCTTCTTTCAAGCTAAACAACGCCAACTCATAGAAGAGGTATCCCACCCCCTCCTCAGATTTTCACAATATTTGAAATATATATACATATATATGAAATATCTATTTTTTACATATAACTTTAATACATATTACAAACATATTTCAAAAACCATAATGACTTCAAGGAGGTGCTTCAAATGTCTAACTGCTCTAGTAAAGGTCCTCCCAATAATTTTTTTTAACCAACTCACAGGCAGGTGTGAACAAATTCTTTGAACAGATGGGTAGATATACTGAATCCCATTCAGATCACTAGGAATTCTAGTAAACGCATTCTATCAATGAATGTCAGAGCATTCACTTTCAGAGTAGTGAAAAAAACTCTCAAGATGGATTTCCAGAATTTACGATTGGTCAAACCTTACCTTGAGAGGCAGAAATTAGGAACACTGCAGTATTGTCAATAAACTGGCATCTTCCAATAGAGGATAAAAGTAAAAGCAAGGCAATATACAGCCAAAATTTTAGAGAGGAATATATCTTATTTGGGTCCTATTAAACTGGAAATTGGGCTAATTTCACAGTTTTGATACAAACCCATATTCTGCAGGAAAATGCTGAGATAAAGAAACACTTTAATACAGATAAAGAGAAAACAACAAAATGCTTGTCTTCATGGGACTAATTACTAAAACAGACTGGAATTTTCACTTGTATTTTCACACCCATCTTTTGAAATCAAAACTTGCACTCTGGTTTCAACTTAACATCTTTTGCAAAAGGCATTTCAAGCCCAGAGTGTAGTTTCTGGAAAAGTGCATGGGGAGGACCAAGAAAGACCAGGATTTCAGGTGTGTATGTGGGACATGGGACACTCAGTTTCATATCCCAGCTCCTCATCAGACACAGTATGAATATGATCCTCAGTCTCCTGCTTTCTAATTTCCCTGGCCCGCAGGGTACAGTCCCAGCTCTTCCATTTTGCATAAGTAACTAAAAGGATTTTTATTTCAGTTAGCTTTTCCCCATCATCATAAATGTCCCAGATAACTAACTTTTCCCACTCTACATAAAAGAAAAACTTCGTATTAAACCAGAAATGTCTGTAATTGCTTCATGAGGAAGACATCTCTTGCAGCTAAAATGACTATAATTTGTCTCACAGTAACCTCTACTGTCTTTGATTTGTCTTCATTAATGCTTTTGTACCAATGGCAAAAGAAAGGACAAGGAATTGCTCTATGTTCTAAAAGGAACCTGTAACATTCTAGAAATTAATACATTCACAAATTAATACAATCTGAGGTATTACAATACATATAATGGCAACACACATTAGGCTTGAAGAAGGTCTGATGGTATATTGTTAAATTTTATCCCATCATAATTTAAACTCTTTTCTCTTTTTCTTTTGCTAAATGATCTTGAGTAATTGATTAACTCTTCCAAAGCTTAATAAATAGTGTATCACACATAGCAACTCATGTTTTTGTAGGCAAAGCTCCCCATGTCTTCACCACAATGCTGCCTCTTGAGAAGCTGCCAATGGAGATTTTCAGACTCTGCTACAACCCAGACTGAACCCTGCATTAGCTCAGGTCTGTAGGGCTGGACAGAACAGTCTGGATCACTGAGTTCATTTACCATTTTTGAAGAAAGTAATGCTGTATGTATGCTTCTTTGCATAAGCTGATGAAATACGACTTTTAAATCCACTTTTGCCCTCAAAACTCCTGCTGGAAGCCTATTTCATGACTTTAGTGTGATGGTTAAAATTTTTCCAATTTTGAGCCTAAATATGTATGGCCAATATCTCCCTTTTTGATCTTATGCCAACATTGTCCTCTAGGTGAAGTAATCCTTTTCCCTCCCTGGGCTTGCCCCTCTAATGCAATTTTTGCGGACAATCACGTATCCTTTCAACTTCTGTTCTGCTGGGCTAGGGAAACCAAGCTCTTTTGGCCTCCTCATTTATCTGAAATTAAAACTCTCATGCACACTCCACCTCATCCAATTATGCTGCTCCAGGCAGACAGGAAATTTGAAAAGAGAACCTGCCAAAATCGACTCTATTGAGCCATTCTGAAATTTATAATACTCCCTAATTTGGAAGTGAGTCTGACAGGAAAAAAAAAATCATTTATTTAACAAAATCTTTACAACAGTTACCATCCAGGCTTGTGTTAAAACCAGGCCTCTGAGATCAAATATCCCAAAAACCCCGAAGTTGGCAATAAATTGCAAGCACAATCCAATTTATACTTACCTACAGCAAATCCTTCATATCATAAACTACATGTCTTTTTAATATGAAGTTCTCAAATAGCACAGAAACCCCCCAGGTGTTGCAAGATTTTGGTAAAGACGCTTCCTGACTGTTAGGGTCCAAATATGATCTGTGATGTAAACATATTTCAATACCATACAACTTTGTTACTCGAATTTTTTTTTTTCCAAGAGCTTGTCATGTTTGCAATCTTGGCCATAAACCTCAGTATCAGGCATATTTGCTTGTTCTTTTAATTTTAACACCTATAACAGAACCATGCTTACAAAGTGCAAAGAGATGGCCTTGATGTATCGTAACACACTTAAACAGCAAAAAAACCCTAGAAAACATCCTAAAACACATTAAAGACATCTAATTTTGTACTCACTAAGGCATATGTTGTCCTGGAAGAAACTCAGGAACTTCTCGCATTCCTCTCTGTCATTACCACTGTTGCTGCAGTCGCACCACGGGGCAACACTGAGACTGTTTGAGTCTATGTAGTTTGGTGTCATCACGGTGCCTGTTAACAGAGTGAGGCACAGTACTGTGAGCAACCTTTGTACTGAAATACTCTTTCCATCCTAAGAAGACAGCAAACAGCACCTGGTAAGTCATGTATTCAGGGTTGGATTCACAACACAAACCCACAGCAGGGCTCTGACCTCCACACTTAACAGTTCTGGCTCCTTTTCACCCTGTGACACCCAGCCTTGTGCCATAGTTCACTCCCTTGGTTGCCTGAATTGCACTCTAAAAATCTGGTTTTTCTTTCTTGCCTGTTTTTTTTCCCCCATTTTAATTCTATCTGCAAAGAAACGGCTGAAACTAGGTATCCAGACCTGTGCTTCCTCATTGAGTCTGCAGCCAGCCTGAAAAAACATTTCTGAAATGCATGAGCAAGGAGAATGCTAGTCATGCTGAGGGGAGCCCTAATACGTCTTGGAGGAGTGTTAACCTCAGGGTGCTCATTAGGAACCTGCCAACAGAGTGGGTTATGGTGATGAACAGAGCAAAACCCAGCGTGCATGAAAAGGTAACAGAAGATTCTTTGCAGGCAATAAATTACTATTAATCTTGCTGTCTCTCTACTTCTTCAGTACAGTGATTATTTCCTAAACATTGTCAGCAACTTCCAGCCACAGGGTCACTTTAACTCTATTACAAGTTGTTGAGTAAATATTCTCACATTTATATGTCAACTCAAGGCTACCAAGAATGAAATGGAGCCAAAAAAGGCATTTTTTGTCCTAAAAGATGTACAGTGACTGTTCATCACTCATCTGGATCGGGAAACTCTTATATGATCAGCAATTGCTCAAGCCAGTGGTCTAGCTGAAGGCATCACCCAGCAGGTCAGATATTTCAAACCTCCCTAAGGATTGCAAAGTTTTAACCTTTATTTTATTTGTCTGATCAAAAAGGAAAAATTAAATAAAAAGGGGAAAGTATTCCAGAGCTGTACTGCTGCTTTTTCAGGGAACATATTCCTCACTTGATAATCTGCAGTTCTAGGACAGGTTATATATCATGAGGAAATGTGATCACATCTCCTCAAAACTGACATCAAAGTAGTCATTAATAAGATGGAATAGACAAAGGACAAATGTTAGAGACACAAAGTGTACACTAGCAATGAAAATTTGGTCCATAGGTCCCGGGTCCAATAGTCTGCAATAACACACAGGAAAGGGCTATCAAACATCAAGCTAAAAAAAGGAACATTAGAAATAACACGAATCACAGAATGATGCCAAACAGTCACCAATGCAGTGCTGAGAACTGAGCAAATCAACATGCAAACTGCTGCATATCTGATGTGGGAGACAAAGGAGAACAGGCATTAGGGCTGGCCTGAGAAAGGCAGTAATGTATGTGAAAACAAATGCAGTCCCATTGCCAAACACACAAAAAGCATCTTTCTTCTTGTTTTGGGATGTTCTTAAATTAGACTGCAGTCCTACACCTTTGTCTACTTCCAACTTTTAGAAGATAGCTGCATAGTAATAACTGATCAAATTCTACATGAGATTAGCACATGGGTAAATAGCACGGTTCGAAATTTATTAAATCAAGGTAGAGAATTTAGAAAAATAGGTAAATAGCATTTGCATCATTAATGAAAACTGGAGAGTGGATAAATAAGAAGAGGAATGATGTTAAATTAAAATAAAACATATTAAAATGTCTGTCCCTTATCCATTTGATGGTTCAGTACACTATTTCAGCCATGCAACATGATCTGAAAAGACGTGAGAGAAAATGAAAAGTGGATTTTGCAAATGGAAAGAAAACAGTAGGTTAAAAAAAATAATTCTAATTAGCCAATGCTTAGTGAAGGGTTAAAAAACCAGAAAGGTATGGAGGAAATTAAAAAGGTCACTGAGGTAAAACTTTCTTATCACAAAGAGGTAATAAGGTAATTAAAATGGGTCAAGACAGGGGTTAAAAGTGTAACAGATACCAAGGTACAATTAGGGTTGATGAATACAGGAAAGACAGGACAAGGAAAGTGTGTACACAGCACACAAATCGTACATCCAGCATAAACAGAGTGGCTGAAAGAGCAGCTAGTAGAAAATCAGTCTGTCATTTAAACCTGGGGGCAGATGTGAACCCAAGCGGATTATATGCTTGGTTTCCTGGGGTGGATTTCTTTTTTCCCTGCAATGTGTGTGCCTTGCCCTACCTCCCTCCCCTTCCCCGCTAGCTGGCATCTTGGAAATTCTGCTGAAGGACACTAACGGATCAGAGAAGCCATGGTGGCTGGCAGTAAAATAGGACATGCTTGGTTTTCTGAGCTCTATGTATCAAATAGTTCTGTGATGGTCTCAGAAGCAAACAGACAGATATTTTCATATTTTCCATATTTTAGACAGAAGCAGAACTGATCCAAACAGCCAAGAGGTTGTTCAAATTAGGGTCTATTAAGAATGAGGAAATGGATGGTGAGTCCAGGAGGAGGAGTAAGGGGTTGAAGTTCCTTTGGCCTAAAGCAACTCCAGCTTATTCACACAAACTCTCATGGAATTTCTGGGAATGACAGAGAAATTAGATGGATTTTACTAAAGACAAGGGAAAATGTGTCAGAAAGTGAATGCTAAAGCAGATCTTGAAGTCAGCAGTTAGAACAAACTTAATTGATGTGGGAGTGCAGACAGGTCCAGATGGCTTAGCTAGGCTGTAACCAAAGCAGTGACTCTCAAACATGGCTATCCACAGCCTCTTTTTACATTTAATACTTTTTTACAATTTTTGTTATTTTTTTAAAAACTATTAACTTATCCCTATACTACAAGGAGCCTAAAGCAACGAATTCAAGTTTTCAAAATTCCTGTAAAATATACATATCTTTAAAATTATGCACATAACACCTTGAAGCAAACCTTAAAGCACCCTCTACAGCAAGTTCTCCATTTAATTGATAAAGCACCTAATACAAAAACTGTCTGATACTATTTCCACCTAAGTTATTCATTTTAGGTGAGATTCCTCTAATTTCAGTGAAGTTAACTCTCATTTAAATCCCTGTATATGACAATGGACTCACATTCACTGTACCTTCCATAAAGACTCCTCAGTTTCCTGAACAAACTCTACAGAGGTGCAATTTTTGCTACATTTAATAAAATGGCTAAATGAAATAATATTTTAAGGAAAAATATTTTATCTTAATTAAAAGGAGACTGTGAAGCTCCAGTGAATGAATGGATCTGCAACAGCCTCTTGCCCACAGTCTATCCCTTCTTCCTGTGTATTATACACATTATGAAGACATTTGAAAGATTATTTCTCTCACTTCTATCTCAGGATCTTACAAATTTGATGGTATTGACATAATTTACTCCACTTTCATGTCAGATTGCTATCAGAAGCAAGAATTTACTGCTTCAGCAAAAGAAACATTTGTTTTGGTAATTTTCTTGGTTTAACAGAATCACTACTAAGAAGTAAAAACCCTTGGAACACTAGCCAGTTCCTGTTTTGCATGTCTCCAGGGACTAGCAGGAAGGAAGAAAATTGTATATTTTTTCCCTTTGAAAACTAGATCTCTTTTTGATTTCAACCCCTTAGGGATCCATTCCACATTTCTGATGTGTGACAGTGTTTTGCAGCATGGTCACCCACAGGAACACAAAAACACCTGACAACAGGAACTGGGTCATCTTTGGGGTTAAACTGAAAAATGAAACCAACAAAACTGCCAGCAAAATTCACTAGGTCCAGCAAGAACTTCTTGGCAGCTCTTACCCAGAAGTATCTATTAGTAACAGTTACTCCTTGCCAGCAGCCAGACTTCTTAATCTCATTGACTAGATCAGATTTCAAGGCTATTCAATTCTGTTTCAGAGTCAAATGACATTCTGTCATAACTGTTCATATGTTATACCCTTTGCATACTGTCCTAATCTCTTCAGTCATAGAAGCATATCCTTTGAAGCCATCACATCTTAGTTTACCCGTTGCCATGTGGACTTGCCTCACTTGTTAGCTGCTAGAGTAATAAGAATGATAACAATATTAATAACAATAAGCCATTGAATATAGCTTTCAGTCATTTCTCAGCAAACTCGACCTACTTTAGAAATATTTTGGCTTCAATATTATCTCCAGAGACACTTATTTAACAGCAGGATCAACTTCAGGGCCTCAGCTGGCACCTTCATGCCCAACAGAAGGGGATATTACTGCATCACAGCAGGTGCAGCCTGTAAGCTTAAAAACATCTTATCTGGTGGCCTTTAAAATTTTGTTTGTTCCAGAGTTTTGACATTCACTTATTATTTACTGCCCAACTACGGTATTTCTACAACATGTCTGGCTTCCTGACACAATCTCTCTCAAATACTGTGTGTGGCATATGGAATCTGGTTTCCATAAAGGCATCCTTGTGTTGACAGTCAGGAAGGTGGTAACAAATAAAAATAATTATGTGGGGGAGGGAAAAGGATTTCAGAAGATAAATTTAGTCTCAGTTCATCTCACTGACAGGCATCTCAGAAAACATTTAGAGTGGACAGAAGGATATCATGGAAAGAACAGCAGTTGGAAGTGAAACGAGGCTAAACTGATCTACTGTTTCATACCTCAAATGTCCTGCAAACTTTCCCTGAAGACCAGGAGGTATTTACCCAACCTTGTGATGCAAAATCAACCAAGCAGCAGTTTCACTTGTTCTTTTTAACTTCCTACTCCTCCGTCCTGTCCAAATTTAACCATCTTAATAAGTTCTACTTTTTAATCTTGAATTTATTTCAAATTCAAGCACCTTTCTCTCCTTATCTTCCACCCTTAATTTTCTTGCAATGTACAAATTTACCCCAGGAATCTCTGTAAGGTAAAAGAGGGTCAATAGGTGGAGAGTTTGGCCTAGCACCACACTGGAGAAGACGAGGCTCGGGAGAGAACTTTTCGCTCTCTACAACTCCCCGACAGGAGGTTGGAGCCAGGCAGGGGTCGGTCTCTTCTCCCAGGCAAGCAGCAGTAGGACAAAGGGTACAGTCTTAAGCTGTGCCAGGGAGGTTTAGGTTAGACATTAGAAAGAAGTTCTTTACAGAGAGAGTGATCAGACATTGGAACGGGCCACCCAGGGAGGTGGTGGAGTCACCATCCCTGCAGGTATGTAGGAAGAGATTGGATGTGGCACTTAGTGCCATGGTCTAGTAGACAAGGTGGTGCTGGGTTCAAAGGTTGGACTCGATGATCTCAGAGGTCTTTTCTAATCTGGTTGATCCTGTGTGTCTGTATAGTACTATATTCCAATTTTTATTTCATGTGGGCCTTCAAAATGTAGTTTTTTTCCCCCACCCCTCCCTGCCTCCTTACCAATAAGCCCCGAGTAAGCGAGCAGGCAGTCAGCATAGTTCTCCTTCAGACAGCTGCTAACAGACCGTGACTCAGGCTGGCAGTTTGTGAAGAAATCTGCAAGGCGAGATCTGCAACATGAAGAAAAATGCGTATCTTTAAAAATCAAGCCTGCAGGCGTTCTTACCTTTTACACTCTCTTTATTTTTGGACAAGGCTTAATATTCTTTAACTCAAATGCATATTGGACACATTTCAGCCGATGAGAGTCGCTTTCCAAAATGCATCTGTTTCCAGAGTCTATTTTTGTAGTCAGAACAAAAAAGTGTAAGAAAACAGTAAAAAGGGACAGAACAACAGGGCAATGCGTGCCCTTTACTAAAAGAAATGTTCTGCATTTTCATGCCAAGAAAAAAATACAAAGAGTGATTTTATCAGTCATTTTGCCTGGATCTGAACTCTAACTGGAGTCTGTTGTCCTAAAGATTCAGAACACAGTTTCTGCTGTCTTACTGATTACACAAAACTATATGTTTGTACTCACAGAGCCCTCTTACTGCAAGAGTGGAAGCAGGACCTGCTTTGGTACTGCCCTGAGTTTCCAGGGAATGGGCTTTCCCCTGCTCTGGACTGGCCTGCAGGACCAGCTGGCTGAACTGGGGTAGCAGGCAGAACCAGCTGGCATGGTCTCCACATCCCCCAGAGCCATGGTACTGAGAATCTATTTGTTCTTGTAAATGTGCTTTTATCCGAAGTCTAGAGTGCTGAGTCCAGGGCTGAGGAAAGGGAATGTGTGCTCTGCATCAAGTTCTGCTGCTGAATGGCCATATTATCCTCAGTTCCCTCAGTGGCCCCATGACTAAGAAGAGAGCACTGCTTACTGACAGGAGGTGCTTTAAGACTAGGAGTGAAGCTGTATTGTCATTAACTGATTATTTCTATGTTGGAAAACAAAATAAAAGGACCAGCAGCCATGATCTCTTCTGGTTATTTGTGCTTTAAAGGCCACATAATGCTCCCATTCAGGTCTGTAAAATTTGTGAGGCATTGAGATGAGGTGGGTCAAGGTCCCACAACCTTACAGTTGCTCTCCTGCCCTGCTCAGGCTTATAAACTTGGATCAGTGACTTTTGTTTATTTATAAAGTATCATTTAGACCTCTATCTCCATGAAAAAAAGATGGAATATCCCTACTTCGATCTTCACTTCTTTGAAATAGGTACAAAAATGTTCTTTTGTTAAAAAACCACAGTAATGTCTCAGGATCTGGTGCTTAATCTTTGCAAAGCTCTCTCCAAATCAGAATTGTATGAATTTTCATCACTGCTCTAGCATTATGCAGATTTGCAATATAAATGTTATTTTTTAGTTTTGCAACAAAACCACAGAAGTTAGCAGAAACAAGTGCTTTACTTTATTTGCTTACCTACTCCAGAGACTAATTATCTTTGTTTACTTTATTGTTTTACCTACCCCAGAATGGGATTGGATACACATCATTAATTGGCCTGAAAGTAATGATGGCAAACTTCAAAAGGTTCACAGGCTTAGTCTGAGAAAGCATCCTATAAATAGACTCTGTGCAACCTATACCTGAATGTATCTGAGCTGTTCTCATGGCCTTTATTTAGTTCCCTCTCTCACTAGCTGTACTGACACCAGCAAATCCATGGTTGCCTTCAAGCCACGAGCCAACTCTAAGCTTTTCATTCCCTCTCTTCCCTCATTTAACCACTTAACCTTGAGATGGAAATTTGTACCCAGTTGCCTTTAATAGCCTTAAAAAGTAAAGCTCTCTACCAATCCTTCAAGATGCCCCAGATGTATACCTAAATTCCTAAATTCACATAAAATCCCTACTTTGCTGGTTAATATATACTGTATCTACCAGGAGACAGGCTGAGAAGAAATGGGTCCCAAGGTATGGGAAGGGATAAACAGCAGCACTACAAAGAAAATCTGGGCAAGGAAACCCTATGTCACTGCACTGATTCCTCTCCCAGTCAATAATTAAGATAGTGGCTCAAATTCAGCCCTTGGATCAGTTGGGAACAAAGACAGTTGACAGTTGCCAAGGATTTCTCTAATTCTGCTACTACCTGTATGAAGTAAGGTTTAGGACAGAATAGAACCTCCTACATCTACCTAGTATGAAAAACCTCTGCAATGGGAGAAAGAGCAAGCCTACTGTATGTGCAGCATTTTTGCACTTCTAAAACAAAATAGCTCCTCACATTTAAATTTCATCATTTATGTGACCACAAATAAATCTTTCTGGAGATGCAATTATACAATCAGCATCTTGATAACCCTGAAAACACGCCTTGCAATCATTTCATCATTCTTAAATGTCCAGTTCTCCCTTAGGTTATTAGGTGCACTGGTACAGAGATCATTTAATACATTCCTCTTCTCTAAACGTTTCTAAGGACTGATAAATATGGAATAACAACAGTCATTTACTACCTGGTCTGCTTAAAGAACTTATTTGTTGTAAGCCCTAAAGGCAGCTAAAAATTGCTCTGCTGATCTCCTTTACATACAGCTTGATTTATGTGTGAATTTATGAAGACTTTTTGTGGTCATAAAAGGTAATGATCTGACAATGTTGCACATTTAAGTTTTCTTAAGTCAAATATAGTTCAGACAGCTCTGGTCCAAGCATTACTGGACATTATCATACACCTCTTCCCTAGTGAGTCATCCAAACTTCATACTATCAAAGCTCTCACTCTCTCCTGAGCTGTTAACTACAGCTGATATTTATGTGGATTCATTTCCACTGGAGATAAAGTTAAGACCAGAAAATAAAAACAGAGACAGATCTATACCTATCATAAAATAATTCCAACACTTTCAGTGAAGATCTACTGATTAACACTCACTGAAGATCTAGCCCCAAACATTTCCAGTAGACTGGCACTGATGAAAGTGTGCTCATCAGTTAACACCAAAACAGTGGTACTGCTATTTATCTAGAGAGAGAGACAAATTAGCTTAATGAGAACCATTAATCCTAAAGTATTGCACATGAATATTAAGAACTGTTTGAGTAAAAGAGACAATCCTTTTAGGGATGCTGAATAAGAGCAATCAGATAATAGCACTCCTATAAAAAAATCTGCATACTGTGTTAACTTAGTGCTCCTTCAGCAGGAAAGAACTTGCAGGTAGTAACTTGTGGTTAAGTGCCTAACCACAACTGAGCAGTTTTGTTATCTAGAGAACAAACAGAGCTTTCAACATGTACCATAAGGTGTGTACAATTTTACATGTGCAATGTACATAGATGTGTCTCACTACTGGATAGAAACAGGCAGTTTTATATTGTACAGAATGTGTAGCAGGACCACATTTAGAAGGAGCTATTTGTTTATTTTTCTGTCAAAAAATCCTCATTATGCACAGCAGCATTAATGGGTATTTTTCCCTTCCATAAAAAAAATCTTCCCTTTGTAGGGCAGAAACCCCACAAATTAAATTAGTCCTATCTTAGACCTGGAAAATCTCATCAAAGTAAACTGCAGATGTTCTGGAAAGCTTACTTTAAATATTTTGTATACTACTAGCTGAAAAAGTAAGAGTAATCCTATTGGCAAATTCAAAGAAAATCAAACAAACAGTCTTTCTGAAAAGAAGACAAAAAAATCCCAAACCTGCTATTCTCCAATGCTTTGTATTAGCACCAGTAAAATAATTTGTAACAGTTAAAAATACAATGGAAACAAAGTTAATTTGCTCTCCTTATGATAGTGGTTCTTCAAATACTCAGCAGGATAAATCAAAACTTTCAAATTTTGCTCCCAAATAAGCTTTGTTAATAGCAGTATTCTGTTTAATCTGCATATAATTGTTGAGGCAATTTTATATTAGCACAGCCTGTTGCATAGACAGTATTGATTAGGTTTTCACTATTTTTTGTTCTCAAGGTTTTGTAAAAGTTCTTTGACATCCTGAAGTTATCTTTGATATTTATCAGTTCTACCTCTTTAAAGCTGGTCAACTCAGCTTCAATACTGGTGCAATATTTAAAAGAGTGATATAGATGGTGAGGTTGCAGAAAAAATTTAAAACTGCATTTTTAGTTTGGATCTGGTATAAATCAGAAAGCAATGCTATGAACCAGAGTCCTCCCGAAGAAGTACCCGTATTGCTGGGCTGGTGGATGTGGATTTCCTTTCATTTTTTCTCTCTGTCTGTGCAGTTGGTACACAAGGGCTGAGCCTTCCCAGAGAGCAATCTTCTCTCTCAGCCTTGCCTTTGCATTGGTGATATGCAGACCAAGAAATCCAGATCTCCTGCTGACTGCACACATGTATGGAGTGATGTCCAAGTGAGTGGTTACAACTCCTTGCCCTGTTAGGAATGCAGGGACCGACACTGCTGTCCTCTGCACACACCTCAGGGATGTTAGGTGAAGTCTGGACATGCTCACTGCCACCTCTCTTTAAACTGCTGCTTGTGTTTAGGTACCTATTTATAGCAGTAACATAAAGAGGTAAATGCCAAAGCTGAGAGACTGGGGTGACTACATTAATTAGTCAAAGCTGCTCTGGCGTCTAGACACCGTTTGGCAGTGCAGTCACGTAAGGGAAGTGCTGCATCAATATTCAAACCAGAAAAGAAGTATAAATCTGACACTGAAAAAACCCAGACTAAGTCAATGAATGTGTGTCATAGTGATAAATGGCACCATTATAGAAAAAACAACAAGTCCAAATACTTGTTCTTCTTTTGTGGGGGTCAACTGCAGTACCCTACTCTGTAGCTACAAATAGCTCCTCTATAGCTGGGGTGGTGCTGCTTCTGCTGGGATGCAATAGTGGCAAGAGGGGTTGATATGTGGCCAAACTAATGGCTTCATTGTTGGAGGAGAATTTAATTTTCTCTTTCTTTCATAAACAGGGCAGTTAGAAAATGAGGCAAAGGCTACATAAGCAGCTCTATCAACCAGTAAGACGAAAAAAGCCTCAGAGCAGCTCCATAACGAAAGATGACCCTCCCAGTACTTATTAACGTAGCTTTGATCCTTTTTGTTTTCATTAAAAGACACTAGAGCTGGGTAATATTAATACATCTCACACCTCCTTAGTTATCTACACACATGATGAGAACCTGTGAGCAACTACAA